ATTACATATGTATGTTAATCCAAAGATGGATTACTTAGCTGTGAGTAAAGGTTATGAGAGCTATATTTCATATAGAGCACAGGAATTAGATAAATGCAAGCAAACGCCAGATTATAAATTATGCAGAGGGAAGCAAATAACCAACATCTCACCTACAACGTAGTGGTTGGATCCACGTGCAAAGTGTGTCCGTACTTTTTTTTAATTTGTTTTTTAAAAACTGGAATTTATGTAGACACATTTTCCATCGTGTTTTTTAAATAAAGTACCCAAACTCAGAATCTAATGAATGTATATTGTTACGCAATGCTTTTAAGTATTGTTCATCGTACGCTTAAACTCTGTTTGGGGATGTAGTAATAACAATAAGTTTCTTAAAACTTTAAACAGTTTATGTATGGTCTTGAACAACGCTCGACTTAATGTTTCGCATACAATTTTATATGAACGTAAACGACCATTGTCTTTCCACCGATATTTCCGCGTAATTCGACTAATTGCCACTATATCATTATTATCTATTAATGTATTATTATTATTAATCGGTAACAAAACGTTTAACCCTTGCGAAATAAAAATTTATTTATAACTAAATAGTTTTCACACGTTATTATTACTAGATATATTATCACGATTTAGAACACCACAACTTCATGGATATCACCCACTGCGATTATTTTTGCCAACGAACACTATAAAATATATAGTTGTGTACCTATTAATATTATTTTAAATTGGATAGACAAAATGAATTATATATTAAAAAAAGGTTGGTAGAGCAATTCTTCACGGTTAAACTCTATTTTCTAAATTTTAATTAAAAATCGTATTCATTTTTAAAGAGTTCTATAGTTTTTCAAGATCAAAAAAAAACAAAAATTGAGCGTAATTAAGTATTTATTTTTACAAGCGTTCTAAGTTTAAATTTTTGATGAGAATCGTAAAAATTAAGGGATTTAAAAAACATAGTTAACCGAACTTCGCTCAAAATCAAATTTCGTTAACAACGTTGTTGCGTACAGAAATATAAATAAAATAACATTATGTAACCCTCCCACAGGAGAACATCCATCCATAGCGAATTTTCTTATTATTTATTCAGAATGAATTCCTCATTTTCATATCACATCATAGTAAAACCAATAGATCCTCTACGCTCCGAATCTAAAAACAAGAAAATTATACTTTTCATAAACCACGCATAGGGTAGCGTAGCTATTAGTTTGCAACCACGATATAAATAGCTGGATAGCAGTCACTACCCCTAATTAACCTGTAATGCCATGAACATTCCTTTGAAAACACCTTTAGAAAATCAAATCATGACCCTTTGTAATGCACCGACGATCGACTGGACAAAATATCATTTCTGAAAATGCACTCAACTCTTTACTTTAGAGCAAGGTTTCCAGTAAAGAAGTAGTTTAAAGGTATAAAAAAAAAAATTTAAAAAAAATACACATCAAAAAAACACCAATAGATCCTTAGTTTTTCTACGAATCTAAAATACACACATCGTAGTAAATCCAATGGATCCTTCGTTACGCTCAAAATCTAAAATAAAAGCATCCCGGTTAACTACTAGGCAATTGATAATTAGTTATAAATTATTATTACACCGTTTTGATAACTATTGTAACAATTATTGAATGTTCGTTAATACCTATCCGATTGAATTCGGAACCAGTAGCATTGAGTTGGAGGAGAGTAGTGGTGCATTATTAACACGCCGTGCGCCGTTCCACCACACAAATGATACTTCACTATTCTCCTCCAATCCAAACTTAAAATTGAAATATTTCGTCAACGGATCGTCAGATATCAAAAAATGTTAACACTAAAATGTATTTTAACTCCATCTATTTATGATTTTTTTAATATAGGTTTCCATTTGACAATCAAAAGTAATTAATGGATTTATCCCAAAAAATAAGGGTGATAAAAAATATTATAAATATAATATTATAGAACAGTTTGTTTCTTAAATGTTTTAGAAAACAAATTCCGCAAAAAGTTAATACTTTCCGAGATAATGAGTGTACCCACTTAAATAGATCACCTGGTATATATCAAATACCTACACAAACCAATTGATGGTGGAAGGGCAATCGCCCCCACGGCCCCCTTTCGAATACGCCACTGAACTATCCCGTCAAAAATCGCAACAGAACTCGGCTCCCAGAAAATATTTGAATTGCTTACATAAACCATTTACGGCGTCGACTTTACTAAGAACTGCGAATATTTTATTTTTGTCACGAGTCGTATAATAAGCGCCTTGGATTTCACATTTTAACGTATAGGCAACCACCGCGATTCTTTGCGGTTAGGTAGCGTAACATCGAGAGATTATAATATTTATTTAATGTCTAGTATTCTGTATTAGGCACCATTTGGTATACTTTTCGTATAAACTTTTGGCCGAAAATATTGACTGTTCTGAGTTCTCATAACACTATGGCATGCAATACTTTTTATTTGAAAACGGAGTTTTCTAGTTATGACAGCAATTTTCTCTAAATTAGAATTATGATTACCATTAATGAATTAAAAATAGATTTATTCGTGTCACCAAACTTGTATGATTATGTGTAATTTTACTTCATTGTTTCCACTTAAATATTCCACTTAAACGATTTTTATTGAAAAATATTATGTCGGGCCTGGCCCGTTTAAAACTTAAACTAAATAAACTAAATAAATAATATAAGAGTGGATAGGCTACTCTCATATTGACAAAACAAAGGGCCACGGTCCGATATTTAGATGAGAGACAGACTGATTTTATAAAGCGCTTTCACTNAAAAATATTATGGTAACTGCTAATTGTATGAAAATAATTTCCATTCACATTATAGCTGAAATACATAGAATATTATTTACTATAAAAACCTAGTTATCAAGAGAATAACCATAATCTTAATATAACTAACAAAACAAATTGCTTACTTATATTACGGCCATACAAATAATTCATTCATGAATAAATTATATATTTAAATTATTGAGGCAAGATAAATTTAACTAATTAAATAGATAATATTTAAGTAAATTTTCCTTGTGTGAGAGGATCACAATACTCCCACGCTACCTTTCATACGAGGTGACAAAAAGGGTTTGCCTCAGATCGAAAACAAGTGCTGGGAGCACTAGCTTGTCCTTTCTAAGATATACAAGAGGACAACCGATTAGTAGAGGTACTATTGTGAATTATGTTTGAAGATGATATAGCTTTGATAGGAGAGAATAATATAGATAACATTTGAAGAAAAGTTTAGAAAAACAGAGCAAAATAGTCAACGACAATAATTGGTGAAATGTTAAGTGAGATTATGTGTCTTTTGTACAATAGAACGGTGGTTGATGAAAATTCGAAACATAAGATAAGTGTAGTTGGATAAAATGTAGAGAAGCGTCAGGTTTTTATGGTCAGAGTGTTGGGTGGTGTACAGAAAATATAACAGATAATAAGTGTCAACGAAGATGAAAATACTTAGGTGGATAAGTAGAGTGAAAATCGGATGAATAATGAGTACATTAGAAGAAGCATAGGATTGGTTTCGATCGTAGACAAATGTGAGAAAATTGACAGAGATTGTGTGGGTATTGCTTGGAGAGAAAGGAATCTGAAGCAGTAAGAAACGGAAGTGGAAAAAGGGAGATATTATGACCGAAAAAGAGGTGGTTGGAAGCGATTGAAAATGGTATAAAGTTATAAAGGTTAGAATGGCTAGAAAGACCTAAGCATTTATTGCTTCAGAATTATCTATCCTCGTGATATGTTCAACCATCGTAATCTATTTTCTTTCATTTTGTCTACTATCGAAGCCACAACTAAACTAACTCGTATATGCTAATTCCTTAACCTATATTCTCTCGTTAATCCACTTATCCATCATACGTCAATCTGCTACAATCACCTACTTGTGTTTTCGAACTTAACCTAACTTGTCTAATGATAAGGTAAAACCACCTTTATCTAGATAACCGTGAGTAAAGCCTTTATTATTATGATATTAAATGAAATTCAAAACTCTGGCTTTAAAAAATATTTTACTAAACAGGGTAATCACTGATCAGTATTCACTTTGAAACATATTATATAGGAAAGGATTAACTTGTTTTAAACGATTTACGGAAAAAAATGTTACATTCCTGTTAATTTTAAAAGTGCTTGAAAAAAATTTCTGGAGGTTCTATGGCCCACTGCGCCTCTTCCTATATACACCACTGTTGAATAATGTTAACGTTATGAGGGTTATGATAATATTATATATACAACATATAAATTTTGTCTAAATAAAAAATCTAAAATATCATTATAAAAGCCTAGAATATTGTATAATGTTGTGTGTGTTTACCACAGGTTATAGTTTTACAAAATCATCAGTAGGTACAAAAAAAGCGAAAACATATGATTAATTTGTGCAATAATTTATTTGTATTTAAACTTTTAAAACCTTTTGTCTATTTAATGAATCAAATTAAAGTATACTTGCTTAAGGTACCACGATCAAAGATACAATTGTTGCCTATAGAATGCCATCTATTATAAAAAGTATTAAATAATTAGTAGATATTCTTTTATGTTATTTAAAATTGTATTTTTATGTTAATTATTAGGCGAAGAATATAATAAAAAGACGCCCTAGGATAATAGGGACGGGCGCAGCCACCGTTTTAAGAAATTTAATGTACACCTGTAAGCAATGATAAACCATTGCTAACGAAAAAACGATTCTAAACGGAGTTCAGTTGATATTGATGCTATGTCAACAATACATATGCCATTTTATAGTAATATAATTAAATGGGTTTTATTTAATATTTGTTTAATNATAATATGTAATATTATGGTAAAATTCTAATTATTCCAAATTCCAAATTAAAAGTGGATCCCGTTTTTCCAGTATTCCTCCGTTTTTTTCGGTTTTTTACATTTATTGAGAACTTCTGAGAAAATTGGAAAAAATTTATTTTAAGTATCTTTCCATTGAAATTTCCTTTTAGGATTTATCCTTCTTTATCATTATAAGTTGTCGGAAAATTGCTGACAGAAAAGTTGCCCACAAGAAAAAAGAAGGCCATAATATTTTTAACTAATACCTATATTTCATACATTTTCCCTCTTCTCCTCAGTTTTTTTTTGAGAAACTTTATATGAACAAACAAAATATATAATGACTATGAAATATTTAAAATACAACTTACGTAGTTATTTTGGAGATCTTTGTTCTAGTAAAAAAAAAAGAGAGAATATTAATAATAGGTTTCTTTATAATTTTTTATAAATTATAATAACATTATTTATAGTACCTATATAATACAGAAAAATATCATTATTCTGTTAGGTTAGGTTGGATTATCTGAGTATTATTTTGTTTCGGATGCCCCATCTATATTATATTATACTTATAATGAGCTTTATTGATATCGATAGTAAACTAATTTTATTTAAGCCGAGATTGTTTTACACTAAGTGGGCAATGGTCAGTTTTCAGTGACGTGTAGAGGTGCAGTTACAATATCAAGGAATGCAAAGACTATAACAGAGCTGTTTCGCACAGACTTCTTGAATGGCCATAGTTATTATTATATAAATAATACATTATTTAATATTAATAAATGTAAACAATTTATTTTATAGTCAAATAATATGATTTAGGAATATAGTTTATATAGTTAATAGTTTATATTATTCCTAATCATGATACTATGAAATGAAGCTCATTAAAGTAGTATAATTCAATACAGTACACCGATGATGTTTAAACTCAATACGGATATTGTGGTATGATTAGGTACATAAACTTGGGACAAAACTAAATCATAAAACTGAAACCTGTTTTACACTTGAAACTAAATCATGACAATTTGGAAGGAAAATTATTTATTATGTTTAGTACGACCGGTATATGATGATGAAAAAGGAACATAGAGAAGAAAATATAACAGGGTGTTATAGGAAGAAATAAACATGGTTTTAGTAGTAATCTTCATAGGAGGACAAAGGATCAAAAATAAAAACGGCTTGCAACGTGTGGCTGCGAAATGAGGATGATATTAATAAAGCAGTGCTGGAATGAAAGCTAACGGTAAAGAAACCCGAGATAGACCAAGGAAAAGATGATTAGACACAGCGGAAGAAGACCTGGAAAGAATGGGAGTTCAAGAACAGAGAGAATTAGCCCGGGACCGAGAAAAATGGAGAGATTAAGTGATGGCGGTTAAAATTCTTAGGAGTATTAAGGGCCAAATGAATAAGAAGAAGATTGGTTAACATTTTTTTCAGATTAGAAATCAGTGAAAATGTAATACAGTATTGAATTCAACATTAACTTATAATATAGGCTTTCTGAATACAGCTATATGAAATATTTATAATAAAACTTACCTTTTTCTAGCTGATCTAGTCCTAGAGTAAAAAGAGAAAAAAAAGAAATATTAATTATTGGTAACATTATAATTTTAAGTTTTGAGTATAGCGATGAATGTAATGGTTTTACAAAGATGTATTTTTTTTTTTTAAAAAAGAAAGTTTACTCCGATATATACGATATAAAACCTTTCCCGAAGGGAAATTATAATTTTCGGTGGATGGTACTTTAAGGAAGATATTTTTTGATTTTCTCAGAAGATTTCTCATCAAATGTGAAAAACCGAGACAAAAAAATGGAGGGAAAACGGGAAAATGTGCGAAATTATTAATAAAGTAGTTAATGAGTTACGGAATTTTTTCTGAAGACAACTTTTCTACCAGCAATTTTGCTCAAATTTACAATGAAAGCACTTTTTATGGATGGAAATTTGACTACGAAAGTCTTTTAACGAGCTCATTCTTGATTCCAATAGTTTTCCCAGTCAAAGTGATAAACTGGGAAAAATTCGAGAAACCGTAGGAAAAACAGGAATATCTGTACAATATTAAACAAATATTATTAAAGATAATATATCTTTCCTATTTAATTATTTTACCATAATTTAACATGTATATTGTTGACAAAGCGTCACTATCAACTGAATTCTGTTCAGAACCGTTCTATCATTAAAAATGTTTGCTTACACGTATACATTAAATTACCTATAACAGTTGCTCCATTATCCTAGAGAGCTTTTTCATTGTAATTTAGTTACAAATATTCATAGAAATTTTATATGGTTAACGGAAAACTTATATTTGCCTGTTATACTTGTGTTAATAAGTCAAAGAAATTAAGATGCTCACTAGGAATTTCAAGCTAAGGAGATGGGCCATTCATGGCCCAAAGAATGGGTGGAATTCATATTTAAACCACTTCATAAAAAATAATGCAACAACTACCGCACCATCTCCCTAATCTCGCATGCTTCCAAAGTCCTACTGAACATCATCCATGTAAGGCTGAAGTACTACGTAGGTAGTTAGATATCACCAGAACAAGCTGGATTTGTCAAGGTTAAAGGAGAGGGTGAACAAATTTTNTAACATGACCCTTAAAAAATGTTCACAGATTAGTATCGAAACAACCAGGGGTTTACAAGTTGATAAGACAGTTCAAAAAAATTGAGAATGATACTGAAAACTCTATAGAACAACTCATTCAAGGCTGAACATATAAGAAAAGAAAAACGGGAACAAAGAATTAAAAATTTAGTTCTCAGACTAAAAAATACAGGTTTCAGTATTATTGAGTTTATACAAGGAATATCGTAAAATTCAAGTTTTTAGGAGTTTCTTTATTAACATTTACATTAATTATTAACACTAAATTGTATGAATTTTTGAAATTTTAATTTTAAAACAAATGATAAATTAATAAATATTATAATTCCTCTTGTTTTTGTTTTTCAATAATTTCGAACATACTATCTTTCTAGTGTATAATCTTTCGAACTCTTGACGTTCGAACTTACAGCATTCGAACATATAATTTTCGAACACAAAACCCCGTTTTTGCCAAGTGCGTAGCACAATGGTTTTGTCCGAAAAAATCATTGGTGCGAAAAAACTGAGCGAATCGTAAAACCGGGTAATCAGTAACAGAATGCCGTGTTTAGTGAAGACGGCTGGGAAGTCGAGGGCCGGTTCACAGCTAAAATAGTAATATACCGTGCCCTAAATGAGACCAAGGACCTTAGTGTCTCCGCTGGTATTTTTGGCGAAGGTCACCGATTTCGTCACCCGAAATCCACATGGAACGGTTTGCAACATGGCGTCAGTATTACTCACTCATTTCCGTAACTCGAGTCTGGCGCTGGCGAGAGCACAGTTAAGCTCAGCTTGTGCAGCAAGTGCCTCGTTTACGGTATCGGCTCAGAAACAATTGTCATCAACGTGTGTCTGATGACGAAGGGTGTGCTAAGTGTGTGACCGATTCACGCAGTCAACATCCGCAATCTCCTGCATAACTCGTAATGCCAGGAATGGCACACAGTTGATCCTGTACGTTACTTTGTTAAGCTCCAGTTATAGGGGCGGTCAACTTGGACCAACGCAGCCCAATTGCTTTGCGGAGACAATCGTATTGCGCCAACGTGGAGTTGATTAATGTACACGCAGGCTGGAATCTTTCAGCTCGGTCTCGTACGTGGACTAATGCCGTACCTAGCAAAACCAATAGTGAACCGTACCCAGAAAAGGCGATGTCGACGTGGCTGGAGGTGTCGAATTAGAGGACGGGACGATGTCATAAACCTAGGTGTAGTAGTTTGTGGTGTAAGTGTGAACTCACTGAGCATTTCTTATGTTCTTTGCAACGATTGGCCCAATTGTTGTCACTAAAGCAGGGAAAACATATTTGTTGAGTGCGTGGCCACTTGGTATATTCTCCGATCGTCAATGCACCGAATTTCCGATACACATCAAGAGCGTATAGATTTTTACAATATTTGCTCACTGTAGATGTGGCCAGTAATGGTGTAGATACGAGCGAGGTATGCAGTGGCTTGTGTGGCCTCTTCGGCGACGTGCTAATCCGTTCTTTTGATTTTTGATATGGATACAGAGGACATAGGGACACATGGGACACCCTGCACTCGTTCATGGACGATAATGCGTGACTTGATAAACGTGAGCAACTTCGACGATCGGAAAGGCGTTTTTCAGCTGTAACTCGAAGAGCGTGAGGGACACTGTCAGTAAACAATGCACGGCCAACGAAAAAAAGTATACAATTACCCAAATCGGGAATCTGAAACGATTTTAGCACTGAGACGCCCTCACTAAACGACATTCGCTTGTGCTCTCGAACATATGCATTTGTTTTTATATATCTTAAATATATTTATGTATATATAATATGATAATTAAACTCCAGTTATTAAATTATTCATAATGGAATAC